AAAAATAAAATAAAACCAGTGCTGCTAAACAGCACTGACGCAATGAGGCGGCAAAAAAACAGTTTCTTTTCTTTCCCTCATAAATTATTCAATTCAATGTCTGCTCTTACTGTTTCCATCCCTTCGCTCTTCCCACATCTCTGTCTTTCCCCTTTTCACTCGTACATTTCAATCTCTCTGTTCAGGAATGTATCCTCCAAACCCTAAATCTCTAGACCATTATTCAGCTTTCGTTCTTCGGATTTCGCGTCAATTTTTTGTTTGCCTTTTTTATGGTGTTCATTTGTGTGTACATGTTAATGCGAGATGTAACTGAGTGTTTTTTGAAAATAAGAATTTAAGGTTGGAGCTTGATAGTGGGGTTTTCTATGGTAATGGAGAAGAAGCAGGTGAAGCTAAGTAGGGCGACCAGTGATGCTGTGGCCGGTGCTGTTGCCGGCGGTATTTCCCGGACTGTGACATCTCCTCTTGATGTTATAAAGATCAGATTCCAGGTCTTGTATATTTTTCAGCTTTCTTTGTTTGGCATAATGAATTTGGATCTAAGGGGGGAAAAAAGTGGATTATGGACTCTCATTATCATAATCAAAATTTATTTATAGTGGCTGTCCGACTGAAATTTACATTTGGGATCTCTTCGAGGACGTTTAGGATCAAATTATAGTTGAGTTGGGGATATTAAATTTCTTTGGTTGTAGAAATAGTTACATTGGCTGTAAGGAAAGCTCATTTTTGGCTCACTAGTGTATGATAATGGCTGCAGCTAAAAATTAGTTTCCAAAATCTGTAGTTTTGATTTGAGAGGAAGGCTTCACAGTGGGGTTTTTGCCTGGTTAGAGAGGTAGGTTGAGGACTTTTTCTTTTGTAGCTATATTGGATTATTTGCTCCATCCCTATCAAAAATTCAATAGGGACTTAGGTAGACAATGGGGAGGAATTCTATTTAGTTGTTGGTGGGATTAAAGGAACTTGCCCTCTTGATGGATGGAAGGTTTTGATGGGTGAAACCTTGATGTGGTATGCAAGCGTGTGAATTTTTTGCTTAAATGGTTGTGATTTAAATCGTCAAGAGCTATTGATCATTAAGAAAATTGTTCCCTATTGATATTTGCAGGTTCAGCTGGAGCCTACGACTTCATGGGCTTCTCTTCGTGGAAATACATCTGGAGCCTCAAAATATACTGGAATGTTACAAGCAACCAAGGATATATTCAGAGAAGAAGGTATACTGGTATGAAGGCTAAATCTGTGATGGGTTTCTGAGCTTATGTTCTTCTTTAAGATATGAATGTCCATGATGATGATTTATTTAAATAACTTCTAATTTATATAGTTTGTTGCTTTGTTAATTGGCAGAATATGTTGATATTTATGAGGCAATATAAGCATGCCACTGTATTTAGAATTTTTCCACGACTTATTCTATGAAGATATTGATTTATCTACACCTTTAAATTCCACTTTTTGAGTGAGGGAGCACCTCTTATAGTTGGATTCAGGTTGTCATGTTTATGCATTGTTGTCAATTGTTATAGTTGGCTTCAGGTAGTCCCATTTATGCATTTTTGCTTTTTGTTGAATTGCCATTTTGCTGCTGTGAAGATGGTTTTAAACATTGACTTTATGATTCATTGCTTGTTTATTTCCATTTGGCAAGCATTGACCTTATGACTCTTGGACCAAAGAGTAAAATATTTATTTTTTCATGGCTGAAATTATGGGTTCCTGCATCCTACTATATTTCTCCTGCATACTACTATATTTCTCCTGCATAATGGTGCATATTCCTTGTGAGTTGTGAGTAAGGGGTAAAGATTTTGACTACACTCCACTCCGCCATCGAAAACAGGAAATCCAATAAATTTGGCACAAATATATTAACTAAAAGCAGTGCTGTGCAGTTGGGACTGCACAACATAAGCCTTCAAATGACGGAGCCCCACTGAGTGGCCTATGTTTTGCGGTCCAAACTGCAAAACACTGAACTTTATTAACTTGTAAATCATTATGGTAGTTTGTTTTATGATTTCTTTGTAGACTTCCATATAAGTTATTTGAAAATTCTTTTCATTTGGTTTAATTTAAGATGGATGGTTATGACAGGGTTTTTGGCGTGGCAATGTACCAGGATTACTCATGGTTATGCCATATACTGCCATACAGTTTTTAGTCTTACAAAAATTGAAAACATTTGCTGCTGGATCTTCCAGAACAGGTAAAATACTGAGGACTATAACTTTTCTTAAGCATGAG